CGATAGACACGAAGCTAAATTATATCGATTGCTTAATTAACAGAAAAAGAGGAAACTACGTGCCGATCTCTTGCTGTTCGACTATTTAGATCATTTGTCCACGACTTAGTCTTCCAAATCTGAACTTTTCATCTCACTGAAATGTTATTTTTTAAGCGTTAAATGCCAGTCACCGATGACGCTTCAGAATCACTCGAAACAATTGGTAACATTCACGATAATCGATGTTATTAAATACATATATATTGTTTCCTAATTCTCTTTTCACCGAAGATCCACATTTTCAATATATAATAGTAGCCCCACTATATATATAAAAATTCTAATATGGGGTGTCCTTAGTGACAAATCAGAAGGCTGAAATGGAGGTGTTGCTAGTTACTGTTTTAACCTACGCCCACTACTAGTAGTGGAGGTAGAAGTACGTCGTCCCTTCTGACCTGCAAAGGTGGCTATGCGCTCGGGGTCGTTGAGCTGTCGTTTTTATATGTATCTTAACCAAACCGTGCCGGAACGTTCGAGTTTCTGTAAAAAACGGTGTCACCCGAATTCGGTTGCGGCGGCAGTCAAAGTGTCAAAGAAGGAATCCCGCAAATCCGACGGAAGGAAGAGAGGAATCCTCCGTGCCCCGCGAGGCCGCGTTTCGTTCGAGGCGGTCCGTTCCGGCTGCGCCGCAGCGGGCGGCATTCGGAGTCGCCGGATACGGGGCACGGGGTCGAAGCGACGCGGCGATCGATGGAGAATTCCGATGGTCCCCCGACCGATGACTCCTCGCGACGGAGCAATCCATGCGGCAGGATCCCTCTCTCTTTCCTCGAAAACGAACGGGATCGGTATCTGGCGCGCAGACACGGAGACGCCGCGCACTGCCAAACGGCCGTTTCCCCAACGAAACTCGATAACTCGCGAACCACGAGTGGCACAAAGAAAATACTCCAGACAAAAGTTGTAAGCTGTTGACCTAAATATATACCGCTTATATTTTGTTTACGTTATCCGGACGTTATCGAGTTTCTCGAGGTAACTCGAAAAGTTTGCGTGACGGGAAATTCCTTGGAATGAAGGTGTGGGGTATAGATCTACTTATGGTGGTTATATTTCTGTCGCGTTACGATTCCGTTATATAAACAGAGAAACGAGATTCTGTTCAGAATTACGTTCAAACGAAAATCATTTCGCAGCTACTCGGCGACAGTCACCCTTTAACCTTTGTTATCCTAGTCGAATTTTCGGGTTACGCGGCCCCGTTCCGCGAGCAGCCACTCGAAACCGTGCCGATCTGGCACGGACAAGCGATATCCGCGGCAACGCGATCTCCGCAGCGGCCGCTCAATTTCTGTAATTAAAGGACAAAGGGATCGCGTTCCCAGAGCTTCTGGCTGTCTTTGTTCCCCGGCGGCCGAGTCGCGCCACGTCCTGTCGGTCCGTCGAATATCCTTCTCCGGTTTCGCGATCGCGGAGGCGAAGGGAGAACCGGGGCGGATCGCGAGCAACGTAACACGGAATTTATGTCGGACTTTCGCCGCCGAATCCCCTGTTTCGCCCGCTCCCGAGGAAGTCGATAGCATCACGCAAAGGTGAAGGTGCTGAATTAACTAGCTAGGTTAAGGACGAGATTTCAGCCCCGCGAAACCGGGTCGCCGCGGTTTCGCCGTGAACCACTTAATCGGCTCCGCGCGACCGTTCTTTCGCCGATCGACCCGCGAGACGACCGCGAACACGCTCCGAAATTTCCGTCGCGACCGCGATTTTCATCGAGGAGCCGCGAGACGATCGGTTTCGTCGATAGTTCCAGCGGAAGCGACTTTTGACTGGCGAATTCGTTAGCGCAATCCTTCTTTTGCCGATCGACTCGCGAAACGACCGCGAACACGCTCCGAAATTTCCGTCGGTTCGACCGAGCTGAAACGCGACTGGAATTTTCATCGAGAAGCCGCGAAATGAACGGTTTCCTCGATAGTTCCAGCGGAATCGACGCAGCTGCGACTTTCGAGCGGTGAACTCGTTCGTGTCTGAGAAAAAAATAATCGGAACGAGTTTTCGAGTTCTTTAACACTAGAACTATCGTACCAGTTAAATTGACTGGTTTCGATTTTTTGTTTCGCAGTTATTGATATCCTTAAAGCGTTAAATATTCAAAATGACTTAAAATGAATACTCTAACTTGAATACTATAACGAATGTCTTAAGAAACCGAGAATAATCTATTGTTACAATATTCCTAGAGATTAGATATCAATCGTATTAACCCTCTGCACTCGGAAGTTGTTTACTAGAAATATTTCAACATTTTCTGATGAGATGAAGACATTTCGTAAAACCAACTCGAAAATTCACGTGAATTCACGGACAAAGCTATTTTACGTCAATATTTCTCAGATCGATGCATCACATGAAGTATGATATTAAATATCAAACTTTATAGCTTCACTGCATCGAATCAAGTGGTGACAGAGTGACCTCTCGAGTGCAAAGGGTTAAATGCTCGGTAGTTCTGGCGTTAACGCGTCGCGTGGTTTTCTCGCCTCTCGACGGGATCACGGGGGCGGTTCGGCCGAGGAAGATGAAAACGAGATCGAGGACCGAACGATTAGAATTTCCGCGGCGTTCGATAGTTTCCGAGTTGGCGAGACTCTTGGCGAGTTTCGCGGATCAGAGAAACAAGGAGCGCGGTCTGAGGAAGAGGAGTTGCTCTTCAGTGGAACGACCCGCCGCTGGTCGGACCGGCGCGGCGCACCATGGGGCGTTTGCCTCTCGAACGAGGCGAGGAACATTTTCCGAACGAAATTGTGTGCGAGGCTTCTTCGGGAGAATTTCCTGTTGCTTTCGGTGTCATTGGCAAGAGCCTCTTTAACACTTTGCACTCGAGAGGTGACTCGGTCGCTTGATTTGATACAGTAAACTTATAAGGTCACATATAGTATATTAACCTTCATATAATGCATCGATATGCGAAACATTGGAATAAAAGCTTTGTTTCAATTAGCGTTGCTATCAATTAACGTCGTCTATATTTCACCGGAAATCGTTGAATACTTCTAATGGGAAACTTCCGAGTGCAAAGGGTTAATAGAACAATTGAGCGTGTTTTGTTAAAGGTCTCTGCCCTTTCCAACCAAAGAGAGCACTGAACTCCGGTAAACTCGTTTTCGAAATGGAAATGTTAATCGCGCGTAATTGAAGCAGTGTTGATGACATGGAATTTAATATTCAAACGCATACTACTCGATCCGACCCGTATTTCAGTTGCAAAAGCGAGCTGGCGATTGTTTGTTAGTCTTTAATCCTTCCGAGCTAATCTCCTTTGAACCCGTGTAATCGCGTTAATAATTAACAAGCGCGACGAAAGATCACGCCGCGTATAGCTCGAGCGTTCATTCCGCCACGCGTGCACTCTTTTCCTCGCCTCCGCGGGATATTTATGAAACTTTTCACCGCATTTAGGAGGCGAACGCCCCGCGCGAAAGAAAGTTCCAGCGATTTTCCGAGACGCCGGACAGATTAATAACCATAAATCCCCCGATCGACGCGTGCGAGTGGAAGGGAAAGAATGAATCGGTTACGCGTCGAGGCTGAGCCGACGATATGGAGTCGGCCGGGGGGCGGGGGGAGCTGTTATTTAGCGACGGGCTAATAATGGATCCGGGGATGGCGTTCACGGTTCGTCGGACTTCAAAGCGGCCGCCGGGGCTCCCTTTGCATGGAACAACCCGATTTTCATGGGTCGCCTCTGTCAAAGAGCACCTTTAAGGTTCAATTTACTCGGCCGGTGGATGCCTTTCCAGACCGATTTTTCGACGGGACGGAGGAGCGCGATCAGACGCGGCGGATCCGAAAATTCGGTGACGCCATCGACGGCTTCTTGGAGGTTAGCCCCTTGCTTTGGAAATTTGTGAATTGACACGTTCCGTGCCGCGTGTATCACGTATGGTAGCTAATGTTGGCGAGAAAATATTTTTGATGGATATGGTCACTGTCTGTATATGTTACAAAGCGGTGAAAACATAAGGAAACAATATCAAAATATATAAAGATCACCAGAAACTTGAATGTAACTTATTATTGTAGTATCTAGCTGTCTATCTACTTTATGTAACCGTCTATGTATTCTATGTTATTCTTTATTTCGTCTTTCTGCGTCTATTTATTTAATTTATTTATTTATATATTTAGCTATTTATTTGGTTATCTGTATTATGATTTGTTTCTCTTATTCTTTCTTCTGCTTGTTTTCCTTTTTATTTATTTTTATTTTTTCTTACTGTATCAGTCGTATTGTTTTACGTGTTATTCATGTTGTTTCCATATTTCATTAAATAGATATGTTTATTCCTAGTTCTCGATTACTCAAGATCACTCTCTCATTATCTACAATATATAGCAACACTATACTATGATACATCGACGCAGAAGACGTACGATCCGTACCGACGCCCGAGAAAGATGACGGCTAAAGAATTCCAGCCACGATTTTGTTTCGTTTTCAATTTAAATTCGCCCGGGCGAGTACGTGCTCGCGAACAACCGGAGCCGACCGCATCGCGATCCGACGTATCGGTGCATCGAAGGGAGAGGGACGGGCAAGGGAAGAAGCTGATCGGAAAACAAAAGTTGCTCCTCGATGGAAGAACCGTCGAACCGTAAGAGAGACGTGATCCGAAAGCTACCGCGCGATCGGCCTTTGGAGCCTCGAGATTTCTTCCGAACCGCGCGAGAGTAATTGCGACCGGAAGAAGCTGGCGTCTAATAAAAATACTCGCCGCTAGCGGATCGCTCGGCGGTAACGCCGAAGAATGGTCTGATCGGTCAGCTTTCATCTTTCTTCGCTTAACACGTTCGCACCGGCGCTTCGCAGTGTTTCCCATCTGACGGAATTTCAAAAATTCATGGAAGTATTGGAATTATCGATAGTTAATCTTCGTCTGGTCATCGAAATCAAATCGAAAAATATTTCTTTCCCACGGGGAACCGAGTCTACAGAGTACAATCCTATAACATACCCTCATTATTCAACTTGGCGATCATTCCGATTAACACTAGGTTTACGGAATTGCGTCAATTTGACGCATGTCGAATTTGACAAACATTATTTATGAAGTGTTCACGTCGATTTTGATCGATGCAATGGCATGAGTATTTATCCTAATCGTCTATTCTGGAACAACTCTAATTTCCAAGATCTAAACGAACGAATATTCAGTTTTCTAGGAACAACAGAATGTCTAAAAAACTATTGAGTATCTGCCCTTATAATGGTATATATTCATAAACAGGAGAACCAAATCTACCAGCATGCAAAGTTTCAACGAAATCGGTGACCCGAAGGCCTTGCACTCTCCTTGTAAGTTGATCGGTTCGATCTGAAATTTAGCGACTTCGAGTTTCATGATAAATTCAGGGGAACCCTTGTAAAGGGAGGATCGCGCGGAAGAGCCGAGGCTACTCCCGAAGAGCGCGCAAGGGTTAAGCCGATGTTCGCGGAGCGTGCGGCGCTTTGCGCGCGCGACGTCGAGCGCGATTAATCGAGGGTTCTCCGTTGCGGACGAAGGAAGAAGGTTTACCTTAACGTGAGATATTTGGCTGGTCGCAACGGACGAGGCAGGCTGTTGCTGTTCGTTGTGCAGGTTTTTACTTCAACTTTCGCGGACTCTCATCTTCCTTCTCGCCGCGTCTCGTCCAGTTTCACGAGCCGGAAAGCCCCTTCAGCGGCTCGTGCCGCTCTCAGCGTCCACCGGTCCGAGCAGCCATCTGAAACGTAACGCTGTCGTGAGAATCTTACTCGCGATCAATCGACCGAGCGCGATTAGGAGCGGATTACTGTGCACAGAGATGTCTTTTCGCTTATCGAACCGAAGGGATACGGCAAGGGACCGAGCAGGTTGGCAAAGCTGGAGAATCGGTGAGCGAGATGATCACGGTCCATTGAGGATCGAGGACTTCAAAGCGATGCGAATATAAACATGCGACAAGGGAACTATCGGTTTCATTCCTTTCGATCTTACTGGCTCGAACTGTGGATTGGCGAGATTGTTGAGATTGTCGAGATTGGAGTAAGTATAAATGACGTGAATTAACCCTTTGCACTCGGAAGTTTTTTATTAGAAATATTTGATAATTTTCTGATGAGATGAAGACGTTTTGTGTTCGAAGAGGAATCAAGCTGTTTTATTTCAGTGTTTCCAAATTGGTGCATTATACGAGGTGTAATAACCCTTTGAACTCTGTAGCCTCTAATATTGCACCAGGAATAATATTAAATATTTTAATAAATCTTAAGGAAACTACCCTAACATTATTCGATTTTCGACACATCCGAATTTTGTGCTAAGGAAAATAAAAGAGGAAATGTTATAGCATTTCTCATTTTCGCTAGGAATACTATAGAAATTAGTTGCAGTTGCTGATATATTACAAATCAATCTGGAGTGCTAAGGGTTAAATATCAAATTTCATAGTGTCTCTATATAAAATCAAGTGAGTGAGAGTCACGTCTCGAGCGCAAAGGATTAAACTAGTTTCACCGACCGAACGTATCAACAAAATTGAAGGCTCATTCCCCTAAAATCGATCGAGCTACTCTAATTCATACCGCGTTCGACTTATTTTAGCAAAGTTATCCCACTGGCACTGCGTTCGAGAAAGTAACATCGAAATAAAGTATCAACTTTATCGCGTGTTTATTTTCGACGCGGCATCGCTTTGAAGTCCCGCGCAGCGAGCCTCGCCGCTCAAAGGAGTTCCCGTGCCGCTTCTTATTAATACTCGTTCGACTCGGTCTCGAACTGCGCTCCGTTTCCTTGCCTAATCGAGAAGAGCGCGCTCTAACGACTGCACTTTAGATCGGTAATAAGTAGATTTGCAAACCGATTTCCTAAGAAGCGTCCTCGAAAGGATACGCGACGCCGAGTCGCGCCAGTTCCTCGGAATTGCTGCTGACCGAGCGTAGCGTCGCGTCGCGTCGCGCCGCGTCGCGCCAGGGTGTTGCCAGGAACCTAACGGCGTTCAACCTTGGCCCCGTGGCCCGATTCCCGATCGCCGCGCGCTAAGCCGCGCTGGCTAGCCTTCCGTCGCCTCTTCGAAACCGAATCGACCCCTCGCTCGACCATTCGCATCGAGCATTTCCCTCGAACGCTCGCGAAACCTGGAAGACGCGGCAGACGGACGGTTTCAGGCTTTTTCATTTTTTAACACGTTCAGCGCCATGTCAGTCACTGACTAAATACCAATCGTAACGTACAAGACAACCGATGTGAAATAGAAATGTTTAATAAGGCAACTAAGTCGATAATAGTGTAACGCAAACGTTGCAACGCCGAACAATTCATAATTGTTGCTACTTTTCTTTGAGGATAACCCTACAGAAAAATGCTCAAGATTTTCTTAACCCTTTGAACTCTGTAGGCTCCAATATCGCACCAGTTATAATATTGAACATTCTAACGAATATTAAGGAAACCACCCTAAAATTATTCGATTTTCCACACATCCAAATTTCGCACTAAGAAGGAAAATAAAAGAAGAAATGTCATAGCATTTCTCATTTTCGCTAGGAATACTATAAAAATTAGTCGCAGTTGCTGACAGACTACAAAACAACCTGGAGTGCTAAGGGTTAATATTAGGACCGGTGCAATATCGGAGCCTACAGAGTTCAAAGGGTTATATTTATTTATAGTATCACAATTGTATCATCTAAAGGTAACATTGCAATGACTCCCAAATATTCTTGAATAAATGGAGCGTCATATTAAGCTGCAATTGAATGAACTAACGTCGACTCAGACAATGTAACAGAAGCCATCGCGCCGAGTGCTAAGGGTTGATACGTATCAAACTTTGTTAGACTGAAACTCATCACTGTTAACGATGTATCGCAGGTTTCGCGCGTTCTCCGTTAGATTCCGGAGGAAGAGGAGGCCGTGTTCCCGGAAACCCCGACAGCGAACGTGATTGCTTCCGCCGCGACCCTTCGAGGACTGCTCGAACGAAAACCGGACAAGATGCCTGTCCGCCCCTCGAAAGCCCGATCGGGAAGCTCGCCGGAAAAATGCGGAAAGTTCTCTCATTAGAGGGAATCGTCGGAACTTTTCCCGGAGCCCGCTCGAAAGTCCCGAAGTTCCGTCGGCGCAGATGGCGGTCCGTTGTCGGCGAATCGATGCGGGGCCACCAGAAAGAGAGGAGTCCTCGATAATCCAGCTTCGGCTGGATTTCAGCGTTCCGATCCTGTTTCGCGAACATCCTTTATCCTCGCAACGCGGTCGGACGTCCAGTCGGAACCGAGGAGACTCGACGATAACCGTGAAATCGCTGGATTTTCGAATTCCGCGGTTCCCTTTGTTCGCTGAAGTTTCTATCAGTTAACGCTAGAACTACTAGTCAAAATGACTGGTCTCAGTTTTTCTTTAGTAATTGATAGCTTGGAAGCATTGAATATTCGATATGATTTTGGAAATAGTTTCATTTGAGTACTATAATGAATGTCTGAAGAAACTGAAAATTATTGTTACAATTTTCTAGTGTTAATTAACAGTCAAAATGGCTGATTTAGATTCTTTTGTTTCACAATTATTGATATCTTCGCAGCACTGAATATTCGAAATGATTTTGAAAATAGTTTCACTTGAATACTACGATGACTGTCTGAAGGAACCGAAAATAATGAAAAATTTGGATGTATGGAAAATCGAATAATTCTAGAGTAGTTTCTTCGATTCATTAAAATATTTGATATCATAACTACAATATTGAAGCACACAGAGTTCAAAGGGTTAACACTGGAAGTGCCGTACCTCACTTGTTTACCTTTACTTTGTACCAATTATTCGACTGATTGCGATAGGAAAACTACCGGCACGTTTAAAAGCTCGGACTGGGCGTCCGTCGCGCCGGGAGCACGTGATATTAACGAGCGCGTTAATATTAAACGATCAACAGCCGAGTCACGAAACACCGTGGCGCATTAATGTCGGCCTAACGTGTCCGTCGGCGTGTAGGAAGCGGGTCGCGTGCGTCGCTGCCGTACGCGTCGCGTTTTCCGGGGATCGATGGCGTGTCCGCGGGGAAAAAGGCAGTCGTCGAATCGACGCACAGCGGAAACCCCGAAATTCGACGTGCACAACGAAAATCGAAGGTCGCCGAGGCGTCGTTAAACATTCCCGCTATACAGAGTGACTTTCGTTTGAAAAGTAACCGTTGAATTATTGCTAACGCTGAGCCAAGAAGCGAAAATGCCCGACGTTCGTACATCTTCAACCCTTTGCACTCCGAATCAGTAACCCTTTGCTCTCGGATGCTCTTCGCTGGAAATATTTGAACGTTTTATAGAGGAACAAAGCTACTTTATTTTAAATTGATGCATCGTATAATGGAATATTAACCTTTGCACTCCGAGCAATTTTTAATATAACCTTTCAGCAACTCAGAATCAGTTTTAATATGAACTGTCAGCTACGAGCGTGCCTCTGTAGAAGATTAAGACCCTGCTTTGTCATTAAAAAAGCGAGTGTACATTTTAAAGTGATGTTTGACTAAAGACGAAGTTATAAACTTATCCTACAATATCACGTTACGTTAAACAAAGGAGGGCAAAGGGTTAATCTAAACAGAGGCGAGAAGTCAGAGTCAAAAGTCAACAGACTTTCTCCATTTTCTCGTAAAGAAAAGACCCTAACTTACTTTTGAGTGATTCGCGTTAGAGAACTTGGAAAAGCGAGACGTGTTTCTCCTAATAAAGTCACACTGTAAAATACTGTTATTATTTCATCAGCCATCTCTAACGATAACAATGTAGACGAAACTGGAAATTCGACTGCGGATAACAAAGGTGAAAGGTTACCTGTCGCCGAGTGGCCACGAAATGAGTTTCACTCGAGAAATAACAATGCACAGATAAATCCCGCTTCTCTATTTACACAACGTTGGAATCGTAACGCGAGGCGTCGTCGTTGAGAATACGCTTCGCGATATCCTCGTAACGGAAATATAACCACCATAAGTTCGACTCTATACCCCGCAGCTTTAGTCGA